TACTCTCTTGCTCTCTCTAACAAATAAATAAAATCTTAAAAAAAAAAAGTTGTCTGTCTTTTCTCTCATTGTTACACATCTAGTTGATAGAATTGCAAAAGCAGCAAGAGAAAAACAACTTGTTCTATACAAGGAAACTGCCATAAGAGTATCAGCAGATTTTTCAGCAGAAGCTTTGCAGGCCAGAAGAAAGAGGCATAATATATCCAAACTGCTCAGAGGGAAAAAAACCAACCAAGAATACTCTACTGGGAAGATTATCATCCAGAACTGAAAGAGAGATAAAGCCTTTTCCAGACAAGCAAAAGCCAAAGGAGTTCATCACTACTAAACTGGCTTTATAAGAAATGTTAAAAGGACTTCTTTAAGCTGAAAAGAAAGAGCATTAATTAATAACAAGAAAACATATGAAAGTATAAATCTCACTGGTAAAAGTAAATATATAGAAAGGAGTGGATTATTATAAAACTTCTACGCAGGTTAAAAGACAAGAGTAAAAATAACTATAATGGTGAGTTAAGGGACACATGAAATAAAGATATGTAAAATGTCACATCAAAAAAATAAGATGTGGGACGGAGTAAAAATGTAGACTTTTAGAAATTGACCAAATTTCAGTTGCTATCAACTTCAAAAAGACTGTTTTATATACATATATATAAAATATATATGTGTGTGTGTGTGTATGTATATGATGTTACACGTGAGCCTCACATTAACCAAAAAGCAAAATCCTCTGCTAGACATACAAAAGACAGTAAGAATGGAATCTAAGCACAATACTAAATAAAGTCATGAAAACACAATGGAAGAGAGCAAGAGAAGAAGGAACAGAGAGTCACTACAAAAACAGTCAGAAAACAATTAACAATAGGCAACAAGTACATACCTATCAGTAATTACTTTAAATGTAAATGGATTTAATACTCTAATTAAAAGACACAGAGTAGCTGAATGTTTGAATAAACAAGACCTATCTATATTCTGCCTCCAAGAGACTCACTTCAGATATAAAAACCACACAAAACCTGAAGGCAAAGGGATGGAAAAAGAAGTTCCATGCAGATGGAAACCAGAAGAAAGCTGGGGGAGCTATACTTAACATCAGACAAAATAGACTAAAACAAAGACTATAATAAAAGACAAAGATGGACATTACATAATGATAAAGGGGTCAATCCAACAAAAGGATATACATTTGTAAGTCTTTATGTGCCCAACATAGGAGCACTCAAATATATAAAACAAATATTAACAGACCTAAAGGGAGAAACTGACATCAACAATAACAATAGGAGAGTTTAATATCCCATTTACCTCAATGGATAGATCATTCATATGAAAAATCAATACAGAAACAATGGCCTTGCCTTTAATGACACATTAGACCAGCTGGACTAAATAGATATATGCAAAACATTCTATCCAAAAGCAGCACAACATATATTCCTCTCAGTGCACATGGAACATTCTCTAGCATAGATTATATATGTTAGGTCACTAATCAGGTCTCAATAAGTTTAAGACTGAAATCATATCAAGCATTTTTTCTGACTGCAATGATATGAAACTAAAAATCAATTAGAAGAAAACTGAAAAATCACAATTATATGGAGATCAAACAATGTGCTACTGAATAACCAATGCATTAATGAAGAAATCAAAGAAGAAATAAAAAAAATACCATGAAAATGGAAATACAACTTACCAAAATCTTTGGAATGTAGCAAAATCAGTTCTAAGAGGAAAGTTCATAGTGATATAAGCCTACCCCAAAAAGCAAGAAAAATCTCAAACAATCTAACTTTATACTTCAAGGAACTCGGGGGGAAAAAAAAGATCAATGAACTAAGAGCTGGTTCTTTGAAAAAATAAACAAAGTTGACAAACTTTTAGCTAGACTAACTCAGAAAAAATAGGATTCAAATAAATAAAATTTAAAAAAAAGATTTACAATGGATACCACAGAAATACAAAGGATCATAAGAGACTACTATGAACAATTATACACAAACAAGTTGGCCAACCAAGAAGAAATGGATAAGTTCCTAGAAACACAATCTTTTAAGACTGACTAATGAAGAAATAAAAATTTGAATAGGCTGATTACTAGTAAGGAGATTAAAGCAGTAATCGAAAACCTCCCAACAAAAAGAATCTAGGAGCTACAGCTTCACTGGTGAATTTTACCAAATATTTAAAGAAGAGTTAATGCCAATTCTTCTCAAACTCTTCCAAAAAACAGAAGAGGAGAGAATGCTTTCTAACTTATTTTACAAGGATACCACAAAAAAAGTAAACTACAGACCAATATCCCTGATAAACATAGATGGAAAATCCTCAACGAAATAGTAGCGAACTAAATTCAGCAATAGGTTAAAAGGATCATCAAGTGGGATTTATTCCAAGGATGCAAAAATGGTTTGACATCATCTGCAAATCAATCAAAATGATACACCACATTAACAAAATGAAGGATAAAAATCATAGATCATCTCAATAAATACAGAAAAAGCATTTGATAAAATTCAACATCCATTTATGATAAAAACTCTCAACAAAGTGGGTATAGAGGGAATGTACCTCAACATAATAAAGGCCATAAAAGACAGCCCACAGCTAACATCATACTAGATGGTAAAAAGCTAAAAGTCTTTCCTCTAAGATCAGGAACAAGGTAAGGATGCTCACTCCTACTACTTTTATTCCTAGCCATGGTAATTAGGCAAGAAAAAGAAATAAAATGCATCCAAATTGGAAGGGAAGAAGTAAAACCATCACTATTTGAAGATGACACGATAGCATATATAGAAAACCCTAAAGACTCCACTGGAAAGCTGTTAGAACTAATAAATTCAGTAAAGCTGCAGGGTAAAAAAATTAACATACAAAAATCTATTGCATTTCTATATACTAACAAAGAACTATCAGAGAAATTTTAAAAAATCTCATTTATAATTGCATCAAAAAGAATAAAACCTAGGAATAAATTTAACCAAGGAGGTAAAAGACTTGTATGCTAAAAACTATAAGACATTAACAAAAGAAATTGAAGACACAAGTAAATATAAGGCATTCTGTGTTAATGGAGTGTAAGAATTAATATTAAAATGTCCAATTACCCAAAGCAATCTATAGACTCAATGCAATCCCTGTCAAAATTCCCATGGCACATTTCACAAAGACAGAACAAATAATCCTCAAATGTGTATGGAACCACAAAAGACCATGAATAGCCAAAGCAATATGGAGAAGAACAACAAAGCTGGAGGCTTCATGCTCCCTGATTTCAAATTATATTACAAAGCTATAATAATGAAAACAATATGGTACTCACTTAAAGAGAGTCACATAGATCAATGGAACAGAATAAAGAGCCCAGAAATAAACCCATGTATATATGGCCAATTAACTTACAACAAAAGAGGCAAGAATATACAATGGGGAAAGGACAGTTTCTTTAATAAATGGTGTTGGGAAAACTGGACAGCCATATGCAAAAGAATGAAATTAGACTATTCCCTTATACTATACATAAAAATAAATTCAAAATGAATTAAAGACTTTAATTTAAGACCTGAAACCATAAAACTCCTAGTAGAAAACATAGGCAGTAAGCTCCTTGATATCATTCTTGGCAATTTTTTTTTTAGATTTGACTCCAAAAGTGAAGGCAACAAAAGCAAAAATAAACAAGTAGGAATACAGCAAATTGAAAAGCTTCAGCAAAGGAAATCATCATAAAAATGAAAGGCAACTTACTGAATTGGAGAAAATATTTGCAAATTATATATTCAAACTCATACAACTCAACATCAAAACAAAACAGGTGATTAATAAATGGGCAGAGGATCAGAATAGGCATTTTTTCCAAGAAATACAGATGGCAAACAGGCACATGAAAAAGTACTCAATATCACTAATCATCAGAGAAATGCAAATCAGGACCACAATGACTTAGCACTTCACACCTGTTGGAATGGCTATTATCAAAAAGACAAGAAATAACTAGTGTTAGTGAAGACTGGTAAATATGTGGAGAACAGGGAACCCAAATGCCCTGTTGGAAGGAATGTAAATTGGTACAGCCACTATGGAAAACAGTATGGAGTTTCATCAAAAAATTATAAATAACAAACTTCCAGTAATAAGATAAATAACTTAAGGAGATGAAAAATATAGCATAGGGAATATAGTCAATAATATAAAAGAAAAAGTGATCAGAACTACCATAAGATTCAACAATTCTACTTCTGGGCATTTTATCAGAAAAAAAACAAAAACACTAATTCATCAAGATATATGCACCCCTGTGTTCATTGCAGCATTATTTACAATAGCCAAGATATGAAAAGAATCTAAGTGTCCATCAATGATTGAATAGACAAAGAAGATGCGGTGTAAACACACACACACATACACACACACACACACACAATGGAATACTACTCAGCCATGAAAAAATGAAATCTTGCCGTTTGTGACAACATGGTTGGACCTTGAGGGCATTAGGCTAAGTGAAATAAGCCAGACAGAGAAATACAAATATTGTATGATCTCAATTATATGTGGAATCTAAAAAACAAAACAGGTGAACAAATAAAACAAAATTTATGTATTCAGTGAACAGAGTAGTGGTTGCAGGGATGGAAGGGGGGTACACACTTCCAGTTGTGAAATAAATAGGTCATGGGGATACGATGTGTGGCATGGTGATTACAGGCAATGGTACTACATGCATATTTGAAGGCTGCCAGGAAAGTGGCTCATGAAAATTTTCATCATAAGAAAGAAAATTTTTTGTAATTTTTTATGGTGATGGATGGTGGCTGGACTTACTGTGGTGATTATTTGCAGTATGTACAAGTGTTGAATCATTATGTTATATAGTTGAAGCTAGTATAATGTTTATGTCAACTATATCTCAATTTAAAAAAAAGTTAAGGACCTTCTTTAATAATGTCAGGAAAATAATGTGATACTCACTAATCATCACTCACCTTTGGACCTGGCAATCCAGGTAACCCAGGATTTCCATGTGGCCCTGGTATGCCCTGCAAATAGTAAAAAGGTCAGATCACTCTTAGAACAGATCTAGATACAAATAACAGACAGTGTTTATTGCAATGTTCAGATAAATATTACATAGCATAATTTCATTAAAACGTATTTCACCTTTTCTTTGCCCCCACAAAGTTCTTTATTTTTTCCTAGATGTTGGATATTTCATCTTGGAAAAGAAAGCTATACTAATTATAGTATATATTTCCTTCTTTTGATTCAAAACACTGCCTTGAAATGGTTACCTCCTTCATTTTTCACCCCTATCTCCAGCCATATTGCATAGTGCTACTTCTAAAAGCTGTGCAGAGTAAGAAGCCTAAAAATAAGAAAGTGCAAATGTTTATTCTTCTGTCAACATGAGCTAACCCTTTCTGCACTTGGGTTTTTGCTTATGCCATTATGTATGCCTTAAAGACTTACTTCATTTCACTTTGCCCCCCTACAGCTGCCCAAATCATTCTTCAAGCGTCAACTAAGATCCCACTTCATTTTTAAATCCTAGCTGCACCATCATAAAGTGACTTCTCTTTCCTACTAACTTCCATAGAAATTGCTACATGTAAAATTCATTTGCAATTAATTGTACATTGCTTTAGGACATTTCTTACACTGTTCTAATCTGTTAAATATTTTATTGCTATTTTAACTATCTTATGACATGCTATTTAGTTCTAGGATTGAAATTTTTTTAAAAAATGGACTGTTTTTCATATTATCAGCATAGTAGTTGGAACATATTAGATACTTAATAAATATTTGTCAGTAATTGCTTCTATTTACCAACTATGCATAGATAACTGTGTTAATGCTTTATACTTCTTATTACTAATCCTTATAACAATCCTGCAAGGTGGTTATTTTTACTCCCATTTACAAAGGAAGAAACTTAAGCTCACAGAACCAACAAGTAGAGGAACTAAGATTCACCTCCAAAAAGCCTTCCTGGTTTGCAGACCCCTATATTCATTTGGGTTTGGTGCCCACTTCTGGGATTTTCAGCCATACCTCTAGGTTAACATATAACATATAGTTAATAATTACTTATTTTTCTGTCTTTTCAATTCTGAATTAATAGAGCATTGTGTTTCAGAAAGGAGAGGGGCATCAGCAATGGCAATATTGGAGGTATAACTAGCAAGATTAAAACTAAGGGACAAAGATTAGATGTTATGGCATATATCATTTGTAACCTCAAAACATAAATTTTAATAAAATAGATGGAAAAATTTATGGGGATTTACAAATGATTTATTGACGGAGATGTAGGGCAATGGCATAAACTATTATTTTACAAAGCTCAATAGTGCAACCGTGAGCCAGGACAGTAACTTTAGGAAAAATTAATGTCAGTGAAAGTTCGAGTTTTATTTTTTAAAGGATAATTCATTGGTTGTTGCCAAATGAGATAAAATCTCAGGAGAGAAAAAATGCAAAGTGGCAAGTTTTAAGTTAAATAATGGAATAGAGATAAAATTAGGAACACAAATGTTCCTAATGGAATGGAGATAAAATTAGGAACACAAATTAGGAACACAATAGTCTTGAGAGGAGGAATAGTGTTCCTTCCTTAAAGAAAGGATTGGACAAATAAATTAAAAAAAAAAGAAATTAGAGAAGGAAACTGCTGTACCATGAAAATAGCTGGACTCAGACGTTGAAGGTCATACTGTGGGAGAACAGCCTCAGTAGTGGAAAGGGAATGGAATTAGCACAGAGATCCAGTCCCTCAGAAGAGTAGGATCCACACAGAGAGCAAGGAGGATGAAAGAGGTGTGCCAGCTAGAGGAGAGTGGGCACATTGATGAGAGACTCTGGGAGGAACATGATAGATCATCAAGTAGAGAGAAGTAAACCAAATGCTAAACAACTACCACCAGTGAGCATTCCTGAGGCCTCATACAGATAAGAGTTTGTTGTGAATACGGGTGGCTCACAGTAATATTTCAGGATATGATTTCTCATTATGTTGTGTGTATGATAGATAAAAATCAGGATAGAAAGAAAGTGGTTGTCCGTGGCATGTGCATTTGTCTTTATAACACACAGTCAAAATTCCTTTTCTGGCTCTTTGAGGAATTTCCGTTAGTAAAAGTCCACATTGTTGTTTGTTTTTTTTTTTTTTAGTTTTGAAAGAAATGAATTTTAACACAGCAGTAAATCTTTTGTTGGACCTGTGTAATGTGAGAAACTACTGCTGATGCTTATGGCAGCTTTTTCCTCAGGACAATTATTTTTCTAGTCAGTTGTTCCAGCATTTTCCACTATGTAATCCAGGAACGTACTATTTTAAGGCAGCCCACTCTCCTTCATTTCCCAAAGCAAATGAACCCCACCTTGAACTATCAACTACCGATGAGATCACTTTATAACTAAGAGTAATGTTACAAGTAGCACCAGAAGAGCCACTAATCTACAAATTTGATAATCCTTCTTGGGCATGTTCACAGAGAATGCTTTGGCTGGGTGTTTACTCTCAAATAAACAAGCTGCACATGTTCCTGAGTTTCTCTTGAATTGGCAAAGGTAGGGCTACATTTGAAGATCCAGGCAGGTTTCCAAAGGAAGTACATACTGTACAATATGAGGAAAAACATACTGCAAAGTTACTAATTCTAACAGCAAGTGGGGCTCAGAGCCCATTTACTTACCCGTGGACCTCTCTTTCCTGATGGACCTGGAATACCTGCTGGACCTGGTGGACCCTTGGAAAACAAATGCCAAGATGTTAGACATCTAATAGACACATCTTTTCTCACGAGTCTCATTAAGATTCCCACACTAGGGCTTTTTCTTTTCAGTCCCCAGTTCCCAGCTAATGATGATTTTAAAGTAACATGAATCCCCTCACCCTAATCAGCAGGGGTGAGAGTTGAAACTCAAGTGTCCTCTTTAATCTGGCCAGGAATGGCAGCAGGAAGTCTGTGACTTATGGTTACAGCCACTGTATCTGGTTTTTACAGGGACCATAACTAGTAGTTTTGTGGGTAATTTTTATCCTACTTTACTTTTACTACTGAAGGCAGAATTCAATTTAGGGTTTGGAGACCAACAGCTACAGTTTTTTTCAAACACATTTCAAAAGACTTGCCCTGAAAAATTAAAGCACTGACAAAATTAAAGCACTAACCTTATTATGTTCTTTTAAAAGACTTATAGCAAGAATCTGTGTAATGTGTTAAACTGTTATAATGAGATCCTTCTAGTATATTCAGTAATAAATCTGCCTTACACCAAATATAGCACACCAGGAAGTCAGTAATAGACTTAAATGGTTTGCAAAACAAAGTAGGAAAGCAAAAATTGATCCATTTTAAAGTGTTCTGAGTTCTTTAAATGTTACTTATTAAATATATCAAATAAGAAATAGGAAACTACTACTTTACCTCCTTGTGTAATGCTTTATGTCATCTTTTTTACTTTAACAATCAACTGGGGCAGAATAAATGTTCATTTGGGATATGGTTAACACATTCACTCTTCTTTCACACTTAATTGTTACTGAGCACTCTGCTGACATGGAATTATTCTTGGTGTCTCTAGAGCATACACATATTCCATTTTACAAATGTTCATTCAATATTGCCTTAAAGTGTAGTACAAACATTGAAATTAGACATATCAAAGTTAAAGTACTAGCCCTATCATTAACAAGTAGCATGACCTAATGAACCTCATTTTCATGCAGCATTTTTTCTCATTTCTCATTCTTGATATTAACTACTGTTTGAAACTTTCTTCTTTTTTTATATTACAGTCATTTTGAAGTTTTGTAATGCTCTTTATATATTTCAAACTGTCCATTTTCCTTTAATTGTATTTTTTCTTCTCCTCTCCCCTAACTTGATAAAAACCGTTCATGTATTTCCTAGTATTAAGAGATAATTACTATTTCTATTCAACCTCAGACTGAGGGCATTCTCCTTCCTGAACTGTTCAAATATTTTAACAGCTATTATTATATTACTAGCATCCATCAAAAACTAACTTCCACTTATTTTTTTTTAAATTGGAATTCTTTTCAATAGTTCTGGTTCTGTTGTTATAATCAGAAATTAAAGGCTATTTATACGAAGTCCCCCAAAATAAGAAAAATGAAAAACTAAATGAAAATTAAAACAGGATGTCTAGTTTGGTTTATTGCCCTATCACACTACATTACAACAAAAGAAAACACCATTCTATTCACATGGAAAAGGTAATTAACATTAGATACTGGGGAAGAAAGAAAGCATATTTTATGTCCTGATTGAAATATTTAAGTTGTTTAATAAGCACTAAATAAAAATCAATTTTAGCTTTCTTCACAATTTTGCATTTTCAAATCTTTCAGAACAGATTATTAATAGGGATTTCTAGAAAACAGGGAAGCAAACTGATTTTATATGTCATGACTGACTTGTTTGAGGAAAATAAGTTATTTTCTGTAAATAAAGTTAAGTACTAAAAATGGCACTTTAACTTTGAGATTATTAGTTATTAAGAGAAAGTAAAATTCAATGAAAAGAACAATGGTTTTGCAATTGTCTAATCTAGATTCAAGTCATGCCTCAATCATTTACTAGCTGAATGACCTTGCACAACTCAGTTACTCTATCCAAGCCTTATGTTTAAAATACTGGTGATAAAAATATACCTCGCAGGAGGAGCAAGATGGCGGAGTAGGGACCTAAATTTCGTCTGGTCCCAGGAATTCAGCTGGATAGGGATCAAACCATTCTGAACACCTATGAACTCAACAGGAGATCGAAGAAAAGAATAGCAACAACTCTCTGAACAGAAAAGCGACCACTTTCTGGAAGGTAGGACGTGCGGAGAAGTGAATCCGAGGTGATATTCAGGAGGATAGACAGCGGGGGAGGGGGCCTCCGTCGGCCGCTACTAGGAAGTGATAGAGCCGCAGAGCACAAAATCAGAACTTTTAGAAGTCGGATCCGCGGAGGGACGTTGCTCCAGTGGCTAAGCGGGGGGTGGAACCCTGGCGGGACAGTGTGGTCTCAGGACCCTTGGGGCCACAGAAAGACCGGGGGTGCCTGAGTGCAGCAGAGGTCCCAGGTATCAGAGCGGGGAAGCTGGCTGCAGAGATGGAGCCGAGGCGTGGGCTCTCAGCTCAGGGTTGCCATGAACCATGATCCGCGGCACAGTCGGGCCACTGCTCCTCCAGCAGGGACCCAACAAGCAGCAGATCCGGGGAGACTCCCCTTCCTCCCCGGGGAGGAGCAGCGCAGGAGTGCACCGCGGGGATCTGCTGGGTTTGGAGACTCCACACCGGGTTGTGTGCCAGAGATAGAAACGGTCAGTCACAGGCTGGGTGAGCACGGAGTGCAGCCGGAGACCGGGAGTCAGGAGTGATTGACTGCTTTTCTCTGGGGGCTCACTGAGGAGTGGAGCCCCGAGTTCTCAGCTCCTCCGGGTTGGAGAATGGGAGGCCGCCGTTTCACTCTCCTCCTCCAAAGCTGAACGGAAAGCTCGCAGGGAACAAAAACTCCCCAGAGCAAACCCGAGCAGATTACTTAGCCCGACCCGGCAAGGGCGGGGCAATTCCACCTCCAGCAAAGACATTTGGGAACCATGGCAACAGGCCCCTCCCCCAGACCAGGAAGAACAGCCAGCCAAGACCAAATTTACTGACCAGTGAGAACGGCAGAACTCCAGCGCTAGGGGAATACTGCACATAGAATTCATGGCTTTTTTACCATGATTCTTTAATCTTTTGAAGTTAATTTTTTTATTTTCTTTATTTTTTTCTTTTTCTATTTTTTTTTAATTTTTCTTTGTCCCTTTTTCAACCAAAATCTTATCAATCCCTTTTTTAAAAATCTTTTTTACTTCTCATTTTTAGAGTCATATTCTATCCCTTCATTGTAGTTAAGCTTATTTTTTGCATATATATATATAAGTTTTTCTTTCTTTAAAATTTTGGGATACAGTTTCTTCTAACAGACCAAAATATACCCTAAATCTCTAGTGTATGGCTTTGTTCTAGTCTCCTGCCTGATCACATTCTCTCCCTTTTTTGAAATTTTTTTTTTCAACCAACTTATCTTCTCAATTCCTTTTATAAAATCTTTTATAATTTTCATCTTTGCAGTCATATTCCATCCCTTCATCGTATTTACCCTTATTTTTGTACATATATAAGTTTTTCTTTCTTTAAAACTTTACGAGGCACTTTCTTCTAAAAGACCAAAATACGCCCAAAATCTAAATGTGTAGCACTGATCTATGCACCAGCCTGATCACATTTGATCATATTCTTTTTTTTTTATCTTTTTTCTTTCTTTCCCTTTCTTTTCCCCTGGTTTTAGGTCTCTTCTGATTTGTTTAGTATATATTTTTCTGCGGTCGTTGTTACCCTGTTACCATATTGTTCTCGCATTCCTCTATTGTCCTCTGGACAAAATGACAAGATGGAAAAAATCACCTCAAAAAAAAGAACAAGAGGCAGTACCAACTGCCAGGGACCTAATCAATATAGACATTGGTAAGATGTCAGAACTAGAGTTCAGATTGACAATTTTAAAGATACTAGCTGGGCTTGAAAAAAGCATGGAAGATATTAGAGAAACCATTTCTGGAGATTCAAAGAACTAAAATCTAACCAAGTCAAAATCAAAAAGGCTATTAATGAGGTGCAATCAAAAATGGAGGCTCTAATTGCTAGGATAAATGAGGCAGAAGACAGAATTAATGACATAAAAGACCAAATGATGGAAAATAAAGAAGCTGAGAAAAAGTGAGATAAACAACTACTGGATCACAAGGGCAGAATTTGAGAGATAAGTGATACCATAAGTTGAAACAATATTAGAATAATTGGGATCCCAGAAGAAGAAAGAGAGAGGGGGGCAGAAGTTATATTGGAGCAAATTATAGTAGAGAACTTCCCTAATTTGGGGAAAGAAATAGGCATCAAAATCCAGGAGGCACAGAGAATCCCCCTCAAAATCAATAAAAATAGGTCAACACCCCAACATCTAATAGTAAAAATTACGAGTCTCAGAGACAAAGAGAAAATCCTGAAAGCAGCTCGGGACAAGAGATCTGTAACCTACAATGGTAGAAACATTAGATTGGCAAAGGACCTATCCACAGACCTGGCAGGCCAGAAAGGACTGGCATGATATATTCAGAGCACTAAATGAGAAAAATATGCAGCCAAGAATACTATATCCAGCCAGGCTGTCATTGAAAATAAAAGGAGAGATAAAAAGCTTCCAGGACAAACAAAAACTAAAGGAATTTGCAAACACGAAACCAGCCCTATAAGAAATATTGAAAGGGGTCCTCAAAGCAAAGAGAGACCCTAAAAGTAACATAGACCAGAAAGGAACACAGACAATATACAGTAATATTCACCTTACAGGCAATACAATGGCACTAAATTAATATCTTTCAATAGTTACCCTGAATGTAAATGGGCTAAATGCCCCAATCAAAAAACACAGGGTATCAGATTGGATAAAAAAAACAAGACCCATTGATATGTTGTCTGCAAGAGACTCATTTTAGACCCAAAGACACCTCCAGATTGAAAGTGAGGGGGTGGAAAACCATTTACCATGCTAATGGACACCAAAAGAAAGCTGGGGTGACAATCCTTATATCAGAAAAATTAGATTTTAAACCAAATACTGTAACAAGAGATGAGGAAGGACACTATGCCATACTTAAAGGGTCTATCCAACAAGAAGATCTAACAACTTTAAACATCTATGCCCCTAATATGGGAGCAGCCAATTATATAAGCCAATTAATAACAAAAGCAAATAAACACATTGATGATAATACAATAATAGTAGGGGACTTTAACACCCCCCTCACTGAAATGGACAGATCATCTAAGCAAAAGATCAACAAGGAAATAAAGACTTTAAATGACACACTGGACCAAACGGATTTCACAGATATATTCAGAACATTCCATCCATTTTGAAATGACTATTTTGGGATTTATAGAAGAGCTTAATGCTCATCTCATCATACTGACTTTTTCTGAAGAAAGTAAATGGCTTTCATGACTATTTAATATGACCTGCCCCATAGCTCAGTTTTATTACTAAGATGTTAATAATTAATTGCTATAGCTGACAATTTATTTCTCTATAATAATACATTCTTCAGATTTTATTTTAAAACCTTTAAACATTATCTCTAATAAGAATTGTTTAATACCTATCAAATCACTTCAAACAAGAACCACAAAGGAAACATAAACTAAGCAGGTGACATCATCTCCCATTCAATTGCCTCTGGAACCAAACCAATGACTCAAATTTTATTTTCATCAAAGAAAGAAATACTTCAAGATATATTTTAGTCTGCTTGCAATTAGAAAATTATTTTCTAAACACATACAGTTTGATTACTTAAGATATAAAACATAAAAGGCAAAAACATGTTTCTAATGTGATTTTAAATAGATTTAAATAAGTTTTAAATGACTTAGAAATTTTTCAAATGTTCATCTATAATTGCCCCTACACAATAAAAGAATTTCAGAGCTGAAAACATCTATTATCTCATAGTTTTGTTTATATATTATTAAATAAGTGATTTGGCTGGGGTTTTTTTTCCATTGAATAGACAGATGGGCTGTTAGCTAATTTTTTGTATTAGGTAGCAGGAGATTTTATTAATTCATAAATGTAAATGATCTATGTCATTAAAGATTTAATGAAATATGTTATTCTTAATAGATACTAAACTATTTCATTTAGAATGATAATGCAAGGGTTTCCTTTTTTCCAGTGATTCACTACAAAATTACCTCTATCTAAAATAAATTTTTATACTCTATTTTAATTCACTTGATATTATTTTGCTGAAAGATGTGTTTAATGATTATCAATTAATTTAATTGATGTATTTAATGTATTTTTCTTTAGTGTACTACAACTTTCATAGTCTTCTCTTAACATGACTACGTATTAAATCTATGGTTTTTCTATAAAGAATGCTGATCTATATTTAGCAGTTGAATTCTTGGTTGAATTTCAACTGGACAAGAAAAACATATAGCTTACTCACCACTTTACCAGAATTAAGTAACCTTTCAGTCTGCCAATAAAAACAGCAACAAAAATACAACATTTGAGCCAGGGTTGCATTCCAGTTGGATGTATTATAATAATGACAAATTCACTCACTATAGCCAGGATATATTCCTGAAACAGATCTGATCTGTTCTGTATTGTTCAGTCTAGAGATTTCTTTTTGATAAGTTAATACATTAAGACAGATTTAAAAAAAACAACAACTTACAGGAGGTCCAGTGTCCCCTTTTGGCCCTCTTAGAGTCTCCATTTCAAGCATTGTATTAAGATCCTCATAATAATAATCATAATCATAAAGGTCAGTCTCATAGGTACTTTCAATGGGGTAGGTAGCGTCAGGATCAAATTCACCTTCTTTCCTCACGTCAAGGTGATTGTCCACAGCCGGCTCATCTGTCACTCTGTATAAGGTTGTGTTTAAAATCTGCTGTAGTTCCATGAGTTCATTAGTGTGTAGATTTGCTGTGATAGCCTTCTTGAGATTAGTAATTGTTTCTTGTTTCATATGTGGAAGAACAGATGATATCTTCTTAAATGGTGACAAACCAGTTACTCTATCATTATGTTGTGTGATATTGTCAGACACATTTGGGAGAGAACTAAATTTCTCCTTGCTATTTGTTCTTGCCTTATTGAGATGATGGGTCACCGATAGGCTTAAATTTGTCTGAGTATGTTCCTCAGTGATCATTTCTTTGGCCTGAATTCCATGGTTTACAAGATCCACAGCGGAGACATTGCTTGAACGAAGAGAGGTTGACTGAGATTTTGATATCTGGTGTCCTTGTGGTTTACGGACTGTGGCAGAATCGTTAATTATGATATTTGGGATGCTTTTGACTTTAGTAAATGTGTCCTCTGACAGCAATTTTTCACCAAATTGTTTGGGCAAACGAGAGTTTTCCAGTATCTCAGCTGGTATGATGGTTGTATGAAGAAGGCTTATCTCAGGGCGACAACGCTGCTTCACATATTTGCAATAATCTGCAGATGCTTCTGCAGAAGGAATAATATCCAACTGACATACTATTCCTTCAAAATGTACAGAATTATTATTCATACTTCCTAAGGTAAACACACTGTTAGAATCAAAAGTCTGAACTTCCAAAAGAGTCTCTCTGCTAAAATATTTCTTTCCACACTCAACAAACATTGAGACAACTTGGTTTCTAATAGTAATAGCAAATGAGTGCCATTGCTCATTGTGAAAACTGTAGTTGAAAAATACAGACTGCTTTCCTCCAAGGTATACTACTAATTTTTTAGGTAATAATTGCACTCCTAATTGCAGTATATTTTTATTTCTAATGCTGAAGAGAAATGCATTGTTTACTCTATGTGACTGCAACCCAATTAATATTGTAAATGGCTGTTCTAAGTTGACTGGTAAAATTTTCAAGAGAGGTGACTCAATGTAAGCATCATTTGTTAAAATGACACCTGATTCTGTTAGATGGAACCCCTGAGGTAATGGTGTAGGTGATGATGGTACAGCAGTCACTGATGATGAATGTCTTACATCTTTGCCTCCAAGGCCTAGCTGATGAAGAATATCTATGCCTGGGAATTAAAAAGAGAGAGAGAAAGAGAGAAAGAATCTTACTCTTATGCATTCACGTGTTCATATAAATGTTTGAATATGAGAACATATTCCTTGTCTGTATCAACAGTAACCCCTAAAGTAAGCATGCTTTATCAATTTCCAGGTAATGAAAGATATGGAGAGGAAAAGTAAAATGTTATACTCATAATTTGAAACACACACATACGTACAAACATAGCCATGTGACTGTGCATGCACGCACACGCACATGCACACACACACACACTAATATTCCTAAACCCAAAATTTAATAAATGTTCCCTCATTTTTCCTGATCAATTAGGAATCTTATTTGTTACTCCAATGAATATTACTTCTTTAATTTAAAACTTAAAATTTTATGACTTCTATGTTAAAGAGGAACAGGGGACACAGTTACCAAAAAAAAATTTATAACTTGGAAATCATTTTATAAATTAAGTTCACATAATCTTTAAACTATAGTTTTTCAGGCTATTTTCCCTTGTGGCCTTCTGGGAATTTACAAGTCATATAAAAGTTTTCCCTATGCCTAATACCTTAACTTTGCTACACATAGAGCATTCAGTCACCTTGATATCTCCTAGACAGGAGAACCTTAATTCCTATTGTTGATGATCACATACTTTTTCTTTCCATTCCAAGTTTCTCTTGCTTCCATTATTTTCTCAGTCTTCCATAGTAATTTTTATCCAAACAATTTTTAGACTTTTTCAATAATTATTATATAATATAGATTTTATGTAATACAAAATTTTATAAAATTATGGCCTTTCCTGGTTTATTTTTATTGCAGTGTTACTAATAGTATACTGTTTCTCTCCTTTATCCAATTATAAACTCTTAGAAGACAGGTTCTATGTCTGATTCATTACTGGATAGCTACTATGCTTGCCTTGAAAATAGTTCTACAATTTCTAGATTAATGAATATGCCCCACCAGGATTTTATCAGATGCCACATTTATCTCTGAGAGAGTCCTATAAAATAAAATACAATTTGTAAAGAATGATGAATCATTTCTTAGAGATATAGAACAGTTTAGTCAGCCATATGATCTTTATGATTTTGGAGGTTATAAACCTCTCACCTGTATCTTTGTACATATATAATCATTTCCAGTAAGAAATGTCAAAGAATATTAATTCATAACTGTGATAACAGAAAAAAATAAACGTTTTTGAAGATTAGCCAAGACAATTGTGAATCATCTTAGTTTTTCTTTTATAAAAAATTAGTAGATATTTGATGTTCATGTTTATTACAAATAGCAAACATAATGGCAAATATAACTCATGCATAATCTAGCAATACAATTAAAATGTTTTCTCAGCAGACAGCTTTACAAAATACTCAAGTGTTTTAAGGTTATAACAATCATCATATTTATAAAGTAGTTGTAGTTTTATAATAGTTTTAAAAGTTATAAATGTTTGTATCTGAGACACAGTATGACAGCAACTCTCAATCTTTTCCACCAAAACATTACTAACAGCAGTTTAGAATTATATATGTCTCCAGGAGTTTGGAGGAATATTTTAAAGAGGCCACATAAAAACACAAAAAGTATCTTGACTTCTCATATTTTATAATTTAGGAAACACTTTAATTTTACTCTGGCTATTTTTAATATAATATGGCTATTTTTAAATATAAAACATAAATTACCAGTTAAATTAGTTAACTATCCCATCCCCAAACTTCATGGAAAATTTACACTTCTGAAACATGTCTGCTTAGTCTGTGACTTTGGGTACTCTTGCCCAATATATCTGCCTCTGTGGGTGTGCATATCTCAATCTGAGAAGTAAACTATGTTAGAAACACTACTCCTATAAAAATAACAATGCTTAAAATATAATCATATATTATGTGAAAGTTATCATTCTAAGATGCCAGATAGGCTATCTTTACACAAAGGAAGTGCCACATTTATGTGGTATGATAACAAGAGCTGCTCCTTGCCCAAAGAAAACTTCTCCTTGTATTTAACAATAACCCCTGCTACATAGTACCTCAGATTTCCAATGCTATTAAAGGAAATATTACTGGAAAGAGTATTATTTGAAAACTTCATTATATATATGTGTGTGTGTTTAATATTTCATATATATTTTTCCTTTAATTCTATTTTATTTGAGTTTTTATAACAAATAGCTGAGATTAAGAAAAAAATGGCTTTGAGAATTTGCTATTCAGTAAGTGTCTTGTTATTGAACCATCCTTACATTCCTGAAATAAAATCTACTTGATGGTTGTATATTATTCTTTTGATACCTTGCTGGGTTCTTGAAAAATAGTGTATGTAGAACCATCACATCAATATTTATAAGTTAAGACTGCTCTGTGTTTTTTCTGTTATTGTACTATCTTTATCAGACTATAATATCAATTCATTATTTTCTATGGCCTAATTTAAATAGAATTTATTAGGCTATGTTTTAAAAACATAAAGTACAAATTAGATACCATTCTCTCATCACAATGCTAACAAGTTACATTTTAATAACAAAATCAGAAAACAAAGAAACAAACAAAACCCTTTAACTGGAAAATGTAAAGGTGTTCTCCTAAATCATTTGGATCAATGGGAAAATACAAATAAAAATTACATGGTTTTTGGAAAACAACAAAAACGAAAATACTGCAGATCAAAATCTATGGGATACAGCTCTAGAATTATCTTTTAGAAAAAAAGATTTATATTTTTATTCTGCTACCTTTAAAATTATAAATTTATACAATGTCCCTAGTCCTCTTTATTTAGACATATCTATTATTTCTTTCCTATGAACAGTGTTTCCTTTTTCTTCCTCCTCCCCTTTACCTTACCATCTAATATTAGCCAATAGAATTAGCATTCTTAGCATTTACCTTTTTATTATTAAATATCCTGATAGTATTTTTTTTATTTGCTTTATCAGCTTTGGATAATATTAATTCCCAGCTTCTACATATGAGCCAATCAGCAAACTTAATATACCTCCTGTCTTTTTTCCCTCTTCCCCTCCCATTTGTCAGGGATTGTACCCCATTCCTACATTAATTCATATGGTAACTTATACGCAGTTCTGTTCCCAGATTTTCTTCTGATAAATATAGCCAGTCTTTTGCAGTCATTTTCTCAGTTATTTATTTTTGATGAAGTTATCCTCTATTATTAGTCTGCTCAAGAAGCATTCATGGGAAAATTTCCTGGATGTTTGACTTTTTAGGATTGTTTGTTGTTATCCTTGTATCTTAAATTTCATTGGATATAAAATTTTTTGCTGATACTTTCTTTCCTTAAATATCTGATAGATATGATTCCACTATCTTTAGGTGTAGAATGTTAGGATAGAAAAATCTGAAGTCAGCTAATTTTATTTTTCCCTTAAGTGACTCAATTTTTTTTGTTACCAACATGCCCCAAAGAGAAGTTCTTTATCTTTGAAGTGAAGTACAGATTTTATTAGGATATGGCTTCATATTGACCCTTCTGGCTAAATGTTTCCAGGCATACAGTATGCCCATTTGTTGTATAGATCCAAGTTTTGTTGTAGTTGTTTACTTCAGCAAAGTTTTCATGAATTATATCCTTGAATATTTGTTCTATTTTATAGTTTGGTTTTCTTCTTCAAAAATTCCTATTGTAAGTATGTTTAATCTCCACCGCTATCTTCTATTTCTATCATTTCTCTGCAATCTTTTAAAATATGTTCTTTATCTTCAGTTCTGTTATTTTCTCACTTCTGTCTTTACAGTGTTTCCTATAATGTTTAAACTCTCTTTGTGCTCCTTCCAATCTCATCTTGATTTATATTATAAAGGTTTTTTCCTACTACAACTTTTCTGAGTTCTACAAGGTCACAATTCATATCCTTTTAACATCTTGCCATAGCTTCCTTCTCTTGAGTTCTTATATTTCTGTTTTATGATCTTCCTTCATAGAGGTGTTTTTTTTCCTTATGTGTGCATTCTCATTTTGCTGCTTTCCCCTATATTTTCCTTACTGTACCTTTCTATTTATGCTGTGCCAGTTGCTGTTAGTTACTTATTATTTCATAGCCCAACAATTTATAGAAGGATGCTGAGGGAGAAGACAGAGGGCCATGCCTTCCAAATCTCAAAACCCAAAGGCTGTTTCAGCATTACCAGCATTCCTTCTCAAATGGCTTTTTGATATAGCCTCACCTTTTTCTCTAAATCAAACCTATCTAGCAGAACTTCTACAGCCAGCCCAGCTGGCAACACCTTACTCTCCTTCCCCTATATCTGCTCTCCTTCCCCTATATCTGCTCTCTTTCCCCTATATCAGAATGAATCCTTCACCTTACAAAGTAGGTTTGTGCATGTTCTGAGATCTGTCCCCACTGAGCCATCTAGTTATTATCTGTACTTCTTTCTTGTACTTGCTCCTGGGCAGCTTCTGTCCTCCCCAGATCCTGTAGCACTTGTTTTGTACAGGGCTCAAAGTTAAGTACTTCAGGGTATGCTCCTCATCTTTAAGAAGTGTGTGGTTATGCTGGCACTTATATGCTTTTCTCAGCGTATTTTGAGAGTTTGCAGATTTTATCAGTCTCCTAGTTTTGCGGAAAATGGAGTTTTCAGCGTTATTTACTATTTCATTCATCTTTTCTTTTCATATGATATCCAGAAACGGAAGTGGGAAGATAATATCTCATGGTTTCATGTTTATACTTAAAGTCTATACCTATTTCACAGATGAAGAATCTGAGGCCCAGAGAGATTACATAACCTAGTCAAGCCATATAGCTGATAAATAGTAGAAATGGATCCAATCAGTCCAATCAGTCTAGCTTCAAAGTCTATAATCTTTGCCCCACCACACTGCCTCACAGCCACTCTATGCTCCACATCACCTCACATATCCCTTGGCAAGCCTCGTGAATTAATCATAGTTATTTCTTCCCACAGAATCTCACAGTGGGAATATCATCTAGGTAGCCACCAGAGTTGGATCTGAGTGGATATCTAA